GCTAGACACGTCTCCAAAGGCAAGGGAAACAAAGGCAAAACAAACCATTGGGACTTCATCAAGATAAAAAGCTTTTGCACGGCAAAAGAAACAGTCAACAAAACCAAAAGACAACGGACAGAATGGGAGAAGATATTTGCAAATGACATATCAGATAAAGGACTAGTATTTAAAATCTACAAAGAACTTATCAAACTCAACACACAAAGAACAAATAATCCAATCAAGAAATGGGCAGAGGACATGAACAGACATTTCTCCAAAGATGACACACAAATGGCTAACAGAGACATGAAAAAAATGCTCAACATCACTTGGCAACAGGGAAATACAAATCAAAACCACAATGAGATACCACCTCATATCAGTCAGAATGGCTAAAATTAACAAGTTAGGAAATGACAGATGTTGGCGAGGATGCAGAGAAAGGGGAACCCTCCTACACTGTTGGTGGGAAGGCAAGCTGGTGCAGCCACTCTGGAAAACAGTATGGAGGTTCCTCAAAAAGTTGAAAATAGAGCTGCCCTGGGACCCAGCAATTGAACTACTAGGTATCTACCCAAAAGATACAAATGTAGTGATCCAAAGGGATACCTACACCCCAAAGTTTATAGCAGCAAAGCCCACAATAGGTAAACTGTGGAAAGAGCTGAGATGTCCATCAACAGAGGAATGGATAAAGAAGATGTGGTATATACATATACAATGGAATATTACTCAGCCATCAGAAAGGATGCTTACCATTTACATCGACATGGATGGGACTAGAGGGTACTATGCTAAGTGAAAAAAGTCAATCAGAACAAGATAATTACCATATGACTTCACTCATGTGGAATTTAAAAAGGAAAACAGAGGTACATAGGTGAAGGGAGGGTAAAATAAAACAAGATGAAATCACAGAGGGTGGGACACACCTGGGTGGTTCAGTCAGTTAAGTGTCTGCCTTCCGCTCCGGTCATGATCCCAGGGTCCTGGGATCAAGTTCCATATCAGGTTCCGTGGTCAGTGAGGAGCCCGCTTCTCCCTCTGCCCGCCACTCTCCCTGCTTGTACACGTGCTCTCGCTCTGACAAATAAATAAAATCTTAAAAAAAATAAATAAATCTACAGAGCAAAGCAATCCATAAGAAACTCTTAATCACAGGAAACAAACCAAGGGTTGCGGGAGGGGAGAGGGCTGGGGGGATGGGGTAACTCGGTGATGGACATTAAGGAGGGTGCAGGATGTAATGAGCACTAGGTGTTACATAAGACTGATGAATCACTGAACTCCACCTCTGAAACTAGTAATACCCTATGTTAATTAATTGAATTTAAATAAAAATTATTAAAAATCCCTCCACTGTTCAAGCCAAAAAAAATTCCTATAGCATTTTTCATAGTAATAAAAGAAACAATCCTCGAATTTGTATGGAACCACAAAAGACTCCTGGATAGACAAAGCAAAGATAACAAAGAAAAACAAAACTGGAGCCATCATATTTACTGATTTCAAACTATACTATGAAGCTATACTAATTATACAGTATGATCCTGGCATAAAAATAGGGACTTAGATCAACAGAACAAAATAGAGTACTTAGAATTAAACCCCCATATATACAGTCAATTAGTAAAGGATAAGGGAGCAAAGAATATTAATATTAAATGGGGAAAGGATATCTCTTCAACAAATGATGCTGGGAAAACTGGATAACCACATGCAGAAAAAGAAAACTGGACTCTTACACCACCTAGAAATGGATCAGAATTAAACATTTGGATAGGACACCCAAAGCACAAGTAAGAAAAAAATAACAAGTGGGACTACATCAAACCTGAAAGCTTCTACACTGCAAAAGGAACAATTAAGAAAACGAAAAGGCAAATAAATTATTTGTAAACCATTTAACAGATAATGAGTTAATATCCAAAATATACACAGAATTCCTATAACTCAATAATGAAAAAATCCCCACAAATTATCCAATTAAAAAATGAGCAGAGGAACTTAACAGGCACTTTTCCAAAGAAGACTTGCCACTGTTGGCATGAAAGGTGCTCAACATCATTAACCACCAGGGAAATACAAATCAAAACCACAGTGAAACAGCCTTTCATACCTGTTATAACAGGTATTATCAAGAAAACAAGAGATAGTAAGTGTTGACAAGGATGTAGAGAAAAGAGACACCTTGCACACTTTTGGGTGGAATCTAAATTGGTTCAGCCACTATGGAGAAGAGTATAAAGCTCCCCCCCCCAAAAATTAAAAATAGAACTACTGTATAATCCAGCAGTCACAACTCTGGGTATAAATCCAAAGGAAATGAAATGTTACCAAAGAGATATTTGTATTCCTGTGTAACTGCAACATTACACGACAGCCAAAATGTGTCCATCAATGAGTGAATGGACAAAGACATGGTGATAAATATAAATAGATGGATAGATATAGATGCACTTGCATGCGTACACACACACACACATATATGTAAATACATATAAAGTGTGATATATATACATATACATATATAAAATGGAATACTATTTGGCCAGAAGTAGTGAAATCCTGCCATTTGCAGCAACATGGATGTATCTTGAGGACATTATGCTAAGAAGACATAGACAAATACTGTCAGATGGCTTATATGAAATGTAAACAAAACAAAGAAATAGAGTGAAATGGTGGTTACCAGGGGCTCAGGAGTGGGGACATGGAAGAGAGGTTGTTTAAGGTACACACTTGCAACTAGTACATAAATAAGATGTGGAGATCTCATACACAGTACAGTGATTATAGACAAAAAGGCTATTAAAAACAGTCAACTTGCTAGGAGACTAGATCTTTATTTTTTCCACCACTAGAAGAAATGATAACTATGGGATGTGATAAAAGGGCTTGCTGATGGCTACAATGGTAATCATATGCAAACATATATATCAAATTACTGTGCTGTATACTTTTAATTTACGGAATGTTAAATGTATTTCAATAAAAATGAGTACAATATTTAACCGATAAGAAAATAATTTATAGATGGACTGCAATGTCACTTTTATTTCTATCAAAGGATATAAAATATTTGCATCAATAGTGAACAGTCAACATTTAAAATTAAAATAATTGTATTGTTGACAATGTTTTGAAGTAACTCATGTTCACACATATTATGTAGTAGTAAAATAATATATGGGGGAAAGGTCTTCATAAACATAAGACAGGCATAAAACTACATATGATTTGAAAATTTTCTTCCTAATTACAAATAATAACATACAAAGTATGTCATTTACGTATTATTTCTTCAGATGAAACATACCTGGGGGGGGCACTCATTGCATAAAGTTCAGTTTGTATTAAAAAAATCTTAACTTCCATGGATATGCTTTTGTCAAGCATAGCAGTCACAAACAAGCCAACCTTGTAATAACAAAAAAGCCTTAAATGTGATATAAATTCTTTGTACAAAATAGTAAAGTCATTGAAAAGTCCTCTCCCCCAAAATAAATTGTAAACAGAGACTGTAGTCAATGATCTCTGGATTTACCAATCCTATTTCATGTCATATTTTATATTATAGAACATAGAAACTGGAGCTGTAAGTATATACTAGAAAATTAAATTTTTTTAAATAGTTGGAAAAAAATAATTACAGAAGAAAAACGAAAAACAAGTCATCTTGCATAGCTGATGCAGATTCACAGAATCCTACAATGTTTTGTTCATGAAAAAGCCTTGCACATCTCTATATACCTATTAGCTCAATAGTGAGTTTGTGCCTTTTGTACAGCTATAAAAATGTGAGAACACCCAATTTGTTCTTGTGGCCCTAGTGTTAGGGACACTAACAAGACAGAGGAAACATAACAGAGACTTTTTTATTTTAAAGGGTAGATTAACAATTTAAAGAATTCTCAGGCATCCAATTATGTATTTTTTTATTAATTACCTGTGGGATAATGACTCTATGTAAATGTGTGCAGTTGGAGTGCCAGAAGTTAGAGGGAAGACAAAGTTGAGGGAAAAGGGGAATAAAAATAACCAGAGACTTCTCATCAGTTAAGTTAAAGTGCATATTGTAAATTTTAGAGCAGTCATAATATAAATAAAAGAAATATATAGTAAGAAGAGAAAAAAATGGAATAAACGTATCTTATACAAGAGAAGGCAGAAAAAGAGGAAAAAGGAATAGAACAGACAGGATAAACAGAAAACAGCAAACAAAACATTTAAAATAAACCATATCCTTATTAAATACAAATAAACCCAAATTTAAAAAGCAGAGATTGTTAGACAAGTTTTAAAAAACAGAAAACCAAGACCAAATTATATACTACATGCCTAAAATTTGAAACAGTCCAAATGTTCATCAAGATGAATGCAGAAACAAATTGCTATAATCATACAATGGACTACTACTCAGCAATAACAATGACTCAACTACTGACATAGTTAACAACAAGGGTAAACTTCAGAATGATGTGCCAAGCAAAAGACCACACACACACAAAAATGCCAGATGATTCTATTTTCATACAGTAAGAGAACATTCACAACTATTCTACAGTGAGAAAAATCAGATTCACAGTTTCCTGGGGAAGAATATAGGGGTGCATAAGGAAGAATGACAAAAGTTTCTGGGTTATAGAATATTTTACTTCATCTTGGGAAGAGAAACATCATTGAGCTGTATGCTTGAAATGGGAGAATTCATTGTATCTTATGTAGATCATAATTTAATTCAGAAAGAATATTAAATTAGAAATCAATAAAAATATATCCAGAAATGTTCTAAAAATTAAAAATTAAACAATGTATTTTATAGTATTAAAAGGTGGTTTCCTGGATGTTTAAGTACATACATACAGCTTAATTTAGAGTTTATAAGCTTAAACTTGTAATTAATAACAATGTGAAGAGTAATTAGTAACTTAAACGGTCTACATTTCTACACACACACATATACACACATACACGCAATCACGTATCTAAACACACACCATAAAAATAATTACCAATTGAAGCTGAGTACATTTGTTTCATGTGAGTTTCAATGACAGAAGGATCCCGAGAGCTGTAAATTCCCAACTCAGGGTAAAAGCTGGAGCCAATGTCATCCGGGGGACTGTGTTTCCCTTGTGGATAATTCTTGGTTAGTCTAGGGTCCCAATGCTTCAGGATTGGATGGTTCCAATGTATATATTTACCATCAAATTGTGGATTTCCATACCAACTGTAATAAAATACATGTAAATAATAATTCAGAGGTTGCAGCTCTTCCAGGTAAGGTTCAGAGGCTTTGGAAGGCTTCATAGTGATTTCAACACTTTTTAAATTCTTGTTATTTGTTTCACTGTTGATTTTGTCATTGTTTTGGGAATCAAAGCTTTTCCCTAAGCGAGTTTGTTGATGAAGTACTGGAAGAAGTTCAAGTCCAAAAGGATCTCCGAAAGTAGCTTTATTTGGTCTCAGCATTTTTAAACCCATCATCAGGGAGAAAATAAATAGAATAAAAAGTGACAAAATGATGCAAGTCCTTCTTCGAAACTTTGCCATGATGACATACTTTAAACTCCAAAATGGTAAATGTTTAGCTGTAATTTGTTGAAAAATGGTAATTAGTAAATGGTATTGACAATATTTCCCAATGTATTCGAAATGAAAACTAAAATCCATAAAGTTCATTACATTGAAAAGTTTTAAAAGTGCAATATATTAGTTCTATCATCAAATACTGATGTGTACAAAATCTATATATGGCTAGACTAAATAGCAGTATTTTATTTGGAAATAGCAATTATATCTTGTCAGATAAACATCTTAGGAATTTTATTTAAGAAAGTATTTTGCATCATTCGAACAGATTTTGTGTATGCTGAATATAGGAAGGAAATATTCTATGCAAGTGGACTAAAACTTTCCAAATATAAAATTAAAGGCTCACAGTTTAAAAAAGGAAATACTTATGAATGGATTAAAAGCCTCGTCAGTAAGTGGATTTTCAACAAACTTTTTTTTAACTAAAATAATGATTGCACAAGGGAGTAATCACACATATTATTTCATTTCTGAAATGAAAAGAATGAGAAATAAAAGAAGAATGATCACAAGGGAGGGGTTCCTAATTTAAAAATATATTACTTTATAACTTTGAACACCTTATTGAACAAAGATTATAAACACAGACTTATAACTTCTAAAATGGTATTGTGTATGTATTTTTATGTTTCAGTAACTGTATACACATATATGTGTAATGTGTATATATGTACATAGGTATATATACGTACATAGGAATAAAATGTCTTTACAAATTTATTAGAAAGGTATTTGGGGAAAAATTGACATTGACTTTATTTATAAAATATGACTTTTTATAATAAACGATACTGTTGTTATTCTAGAGAATTAAGTTACAATAAACTAACCCTAATAGAAAAGACAGATAAGTAAAACTTAATCTAACCAGCAAGTAATTCTGTCTCACACACACAAACCCTCTCTACAAATTGCTACTTCCATTATGCATATATGCAAGAATTACTAAGATGAGCAAGCATATTTCTTTTAAGACTAAAATCACAGATTCCTCTCAAAGTTAACCTTAATTGTGAAATACATTACATCTAAAGATCAATATAGAAGACATATGTCTAGGTTGAAACACAAACATTCAAAAAGGAAAGTGCCGGTTTAAATGCTCATTTCCATCTTTTGGGCCCTTTGCCAATCACCAGCCCTGCCCCTTCTCCTTAAGAAGGACTTGACTTTTGTATTTACCATCCCCTCACCTTTCTTTGTAGTTTTTCCAAAACATAAACATACCTAACCAATCTTAATTTTGTTTTGCCAGTTTCAAAATTTTAAGTAATTATATACACATTAATATGCATATTAATCTCCTACATAGATTTTTGTATGCTTTACATATACTTAGATATGCTATAAATACGTATAATTATATATAATTTGATATACATAAAATATACAAAAATATTGGGGAACAACATTATTAAACCTTCTCTGACACTTTACTTTGTGTCTTACCTCTTTCCCATCCTTGCATTCCATCACATCAGTTCTTCCACTCCCATACAAAAAACCATGAAAATGGAAAGGCGTAGGTAGATAGATCTGGAGAATTTTATTTTACAACTGTATTAATCCACTGGTTTGATGAAAATGTTTTCATGTCAAGTATTCTCCTTCTTAAAATTTGGAAATAAAAAGTAGCCCTTTCTCTATTGTTCCTTAGACTCTAATTTAGTGACCCCCCAAAGTTATTATATTTTATTATTAAATGGAGACATTGTGATCACACCAACAAACTAGACTCATTTAAGTTTGTCATATAGCCAATCGTTAACATTACACATAAACTAAAACAAGCATTATGAAAGTAGACATAGTTTAAGATGAGAAACAGTTAAGTCCCTACTGTTGTTTTTCAACAAACAAAAATTTCATTTGGTTGAAATACCAAAAAAAGTCTAGAAAACTAAAAAGATGTATAACTCAATTGAGCAACTCAATTGTGTAAAAACTAGTATGCTAAGCGCCACATGAAATAGATGGATTAGATAGATTAGTAAAACATAGTTCTTATGTTCAAGGTACTTAAGAGTCCATGAGGAAGGCAGAAGAAGCACGCAAGTAACTATAATTCAAAGAAGAAAAGTGCCAACAGAGAAGTGAAAGGCATATATAAAGCAATAAAATGCTTATATAAATTAAGGAGTTGAAGAAAATGCTTTAGGACAAAAATAGTAAGAGCTTAGAAGAATGAGTACAATATGCATAGGCTGGTGGAAAAGGAAAGGAAAAAGAGATGGCCATAGTGTTGGAGAAAGTGTGCCCAAATATATGTTTTCTGGACATGAAAGACACATTGTGAAACAAAAAAGCCTCTGCAGGCCACATGCAGCCAAGAAAACAAGAGGAGGAGGAAAAATAAAGCTGTAGTGCCATGCTGAAACCATCCTGTACCAAACAAAGAGGACTCTTCCAGTAAAGAGGGGATCACTGAAGACTTGTAACAAAATATTGGCATAATGAAAGTTCAGAGTAGAAGGATGGAGCACTTAAAAATATTCAAGACATCAAACTTCACCATTTGCTCAATCTAATAATCTCCCATTCATAATAATTTTAACATAACTCTCTTCCCACATTACTATTTTTAGTGACTCTACCAACATGGATGATCCATCCAGTAGTTTAGTCTCCCAATTCTTTGCCTCACTTCTACAGATCTGTTCTTCTACCCCCACTTCACCAACTGAGGTATCATACTCCTACTATTGATCCTGTCTTTTAAATCTTTTACCACTCCAAAATCTTTTTTTTTTCCATTTTCCAAACATAACCTCTTGCGCTTTGAGCCCATCTAGTTTAGTAGTCTCATTCTGGTAATTTCTTGACATTGAGATGTCCTATCTACTTAGTCCACTGTTTCTATTTTTCCTGTTCTTCATGTTTTGCCTCTAGTGACATAGTTCATCCTCCATAATCCAACATTTTAATTCCTCACTTCTCTCCTTTCTTGATACATACCTGGTAAAACTTCAAATAAATGACGTGTGTCTTGACTTTGAGAACTACGGAACTATACTGGACAAAAACACGCAACCAGGCTGATTTTTCACTATGAATTCATGGCCATAAATTTCAAATGAACACTCAAGACCGCTTAACTATCCCATTACCATACTCTAGTATGTTCACTTTTCTAACCTCAGAATGTCATTTTCATATTTTTCATCAAACCTACTGCTAATGTCACCAACTCCCTTTATTATCTTCAGATAGCTATGTCTTATACAGTTGACCCTTCAACAATGTGGGTTTGAATGGTGCAGATTCATTTATATGTGGATTTTTTTCCCATAAATATGGTACAGTAGTAAAAATGCATTTTCTCTTATGATTTTCTTAATACCATTTCTTTTCTCTAGCTTACTTTATTGTAAGAATACAGATATAATATGTAGGGTATACAAAACATACGTTAATGAACTGTTTGTTATCAGTAGGCTTCCAGTCAACAGTGGGTAATTAGTTGTTAAATTTTTCCAGTCAAAAGTTATATGCAGATTTCCAACTGCACAGGAATCAGTACCCTTAACCTCCAGTGCTCAAGGGTGAACAGTACTTCATAGAGAAAAAAGAAACAATCATACAGGAACTCCCTTATCTTCCCATTAAGAAATTAACTAAGCTACTGGCATCAACTTTTGTCAGCAAATGTTTCCAAATATAATATCTGTTTCACTTTTTCTTCTATAGAAAATTTTATTTTGTTGAATTTTGCTCAATTTTTCCAACTGCATTTTCTCTAAGTTTCTTTACCCTCTTGTAAGGCCTGATCTGTTGTGTTTACCTTGTAGTCATTTATGAAATAATTAGCTCTTTTACTTTTCATAGTTGTAATTTGCTTATTCATTCATATCTCATAACGATTTTATTTCTATGTAAATATTAGGCTACACTAGTCCTATTTTGTGAACATGTCTCTCTGGCATGCCTTCAGTGTTTACAAGTATGTTGAACTTTTTTGCCTATACTGACTTTGTATGGGATTTGACTTACCTTTTTCTGTTACTAAATATTACATGAAATAATTTTCTCTCAATTTTTAGGAGTGTTTTATTGTGATAGTTTTTCTAGCTTCATGCATTAGAGAGAACTATTGTTTTTGTGAAATCTTACTATGGCCTCGAATTTTTTCCTGAGATCAGCTGGGTTTTTCTCCATTCCCACATTTATCTGGATGTTTTTATTTCCTTGGCTTCTATTTTGTTATTCTGCTCCATTTGAAAGTTATTTCCAGAAGTTACTCTTCTATATGTGGTTTTGTCCTGAAAACCAAGATGCTCTAGCCTCTTCAGATAGAAGACTTCAAAGTTCCCCTCGCCCCTTGCAGCTATTATTCTCAGACTGGGCTGTCCTTCTTTCAAATTAACATCTATGTTACATTTAATATATTCTACATATAGAATATCTATATTTATTCCTGTTATCAGTTGAAGCAGATGCACTGTTTCTTCTCCTTCCTCCAGCACAAACCAAGTTAGAATACAAGTCTTATAGCTGTTAGTGAGCTGTCCCCTTCCACTCATACCTTGGGGTCCATGGGGATAACTAGTCATTTCAGTTACAGATATTTGTTTTAGTTTTACTATTTAATGGTCTGTTTTTAGGATTTCAGAATGATTCAAACACTATACCACTGCTGTTGCCATCACATCTTTAGCAGTATCTTATGAGTTTTGCACCCCTGTATTTTTATGACCACTTAGTTCAAAATATATTCAAATTTCCATTATTTGTCCTCCAATGACTATTTATAAATGTACTATATTTGGGAGACTTTCTCATTTTATTGTTGATTTATAGTGTGAATCCACTGAAAACATCCCCTGTATGATTTCAGTCCTTTGAAATATGTTGAGACTTGTTTTAAGGCTTAACCTATAACCAATTCTGTTAAGTGTCCCATATACACCTCAAAAGGATACATATTCCACAGCTAGTGGTTACAGGTATCTACATGTGTCTACCAAACCAAATATGCTAACCATTTTGTTTATATTTTTCATATCCTCATTCATCTTTCTTCTGTGTTAAAAATCCCCCACTACCGTATTTATATCTATAGTTTACATTATATAATTTTAATGTTATGTAGAGACAAATTTGCAGACTATTTTCCTGAAGTATTAAATCTTGTTTTACAAAGAAATGTCCTTTCCTTCTCCACTGATGGGTTTTGTCTCACATTCTACTCCAATATTAATATAGCTACAATGGATTTCATTTGGTTCATGCTGGAACAGAGTATCATTTTCATCATTTTATTGTCACCTTAAATGGTTAGCTTTTTTGAAATAGCACATTGTTTTATTATTGTTGCTCTTTTTAATCTAATCTGATAGTCTGTCCAGTAATTGTAGTATGCAGTATATTTACAGTTCTGCAAATATGGGTATTTAAATCTACTTCTTACATCCTCGCTTTTCCTTTTGGCCTCCTTTTAAGCTCCGTTTTTCCTCTTACCTTTTTGTTTTATTTTTCCCTATTTGTTAATTTTACATTTACATTGTCTTTGCTATTATTTTTATCTTTGTGATTATAGCATGCATTCTTATCAAAATCCAGGATGAATTAGAACTTTATTATGTCTCAACAATAAAAGCACACTTCTGCCCCAACTTTGTGCTCCTGTTTTGGTGTATTTTATTTTTTACACAAATCTTTTTTTAAAGATTTTATTTATTTATTCGTGAGAGACACACAGAGAGAGAGAGAGAGAGAGAGGCAGAGGGAGAAGCAGAAGCAGGCTCCCAAGGAGCAGGGAGCCCGATGCGGGACTCGATCCCAGGACCCTGAGATCATGACCTGAGCTGAAGGCAGACGCTTAACCATCTGAGCCACCCAGGCGCCCCTTTTTACACAAATCTTAAACCCCACCAGATGGGATATGGTTTTACACAGTCAGCATTCATTACATTTACCCTTTCCTTTGCTCTTCACTTCCTCCTGCATCCCCCTACTTCCATTCAAAACAATTTTCCTTATGGTGAAGAAATTATTCCCTCTAATAAGGCTTTTAGTATCAGCCCGCTGCTGATAAATCCCATGTTAATTTGTTTGAAAATATATTTTGCCTCCACTGTAACATAGATCTATAGACTTCTATATTGGCAATTTTCTTTCAGCACAACCCATTATCTTTGTTTCTGTTGAAAGCTCAACTATTGTTTTGTGGTTCTTTTCCTTGATTTTTTAAAGACTTTAAGGATATTTTCTTTTTCTCTGGCTCCTTTTAATATTTTTCTCATTTTGGTTTTCAGCAGTTTTGCTATGGAATATGGTTTTCTTAGTATTTGTCCTGCTTTAGGTCCAACATGCTTCTTCAGTCTTTGGGTTGATATCTTTCCTTAGCTTTGTAAAATTCTTGACCACAATCTCTTCAAATATTGCTTTTGCTCCATGATTGCTTTCTCGTTCATATCTCATTTTGGAATACAATACTCATGTTAGAATTTTATATCCTCTTTTTTTTAAACATTTTAAAATTTCCCTCATCTCTCCTTACCTCAGTCTGAGTCCTTCTGAACGCTTCCTGTTTCCTA